ATTTAACGGTATTTACGCTTTTATTGCATTTGTTATAATAATTTCACAATCTAAATTAACAGTGAATAAGAAAGTATGTTTTATACATAATGAAGAAGGACATTACTGCTGATAAATAATATAATATTTTAGATTAAATGCCTATTTTTACAATGACTGCTCGCGTAACAGATTGACGGAATTATTTTATCTCAACTAAACATTTAAGGCAATACGATTCAAATTTGGCACTGCTTTATTCCGTGCATGCCAAGTAGGAGAGTTCTACGACCGAATGGACGATTTAATGATAAAAACGTCTGTAAACGATCTTAACTTCTTATTCTTATGGTTTAAAATATGTTATTTATTTTTTAATCATTGTATGCTTAAAAGTAAGAGTTTATAATTTTTTAAGACATAAAAGTTGTCCCTGTTTAATCTATTTAGTATTATCTTCCTTTTTATCTTTCTTTATTATTATTATCTTTCCGATATATTTATTATTATTACCTTCTTACTATCTCAGATATCAGCTTCTATAAGTGTACATATTTTTATGTTAAGTCCCGTTTATCATTTATAAAGTTGTTTGAGTAAATCAGTGAAATAAAATAGTAGCGTGTTCGCACGTATCGCTTGCTCCTGACTGGATATATGAACGAATGCGATCGTAACGCATGCTCCTGCGCAAATGTAGTATAGCCTGGAAAAACACACTATTTTCGAAGGCTCAACTGTTTAAAAACAAAATACCTATTATATTTATAAAGTGGCAATATTATATTTACACGTATATAAATCAGTTCCGTCTCGACAATTTTCTTTTTAATGCGCACTAGCCGTTTTCCCGCGGTGAGTATTTAAAAGACTTCAACGAGAGTCGCTCATTTCTTAGACATTAACTCGTATCTGTAGTCGAGAGAAGTAATTCCATGAGAAAATATCATAACTTAAGCAATTTTTTTAGCCAATAAACGAGAATTTTAATGAATGAAAAAAAAATAGGCTATAAGAATAGTATTATAAATTTTACAATTCTTACTTTATTAAAATTCTTGTTTATTTGATAATACTATCTTACGTTATATCATCATAATCATCAACCCTTTTACGTACTCACTGCAGGAACTCAGGCCCTACGTGCCTTACGAAGCACTGAGTAACTCTACATAATAATTTTTTGATCACCCATCCCGTGACCGACCATTGCGAAAGATGCTTAACTACAACGATCGCAAGCCGCAGCGCTTATCCACTACATCATCGAGCTATGATATGTTCTCAAGTAATTACTTATCTTGACTATAGATACGAAGATACCCAAGTGTTTATTTTCATTATTCTTTTATACCGCTCAAGATTTTTCTAACATTATATATTTTTCGCAACGCTTTCCCGTATGCTCAATTACCCATGCGAATTTTATAGACGCGCTTGGAGGCACTGCTTGTTGTAGCTTATTAAGCGCTAAGTTAGTAACCAGCCAGTCTGAGAAATGCAGACCTGTATTAGCATTTAATGTGGAAGCATACAAATGTTCACTAAGCTAAAGACAAAACGAATACCATTATATCGTGATACTTAGTTTAAATTTAATTATACTAACTAGTTATTTCAAAAAACTAGTTGATGTTATTTTTTTTTTTTGTGAAAGCAAAAGAATGTAACAGTAAGAAGTTTATTTTCAGATCTCAAACGGAACAATACAGACTGAAATTGAAATTTTATATAACCACCAGAAAAATAAAAGACTTCCTACTTTTATAAGACAACTGTTTTTGTTGCCACAATAAAAAACATTTTCACGTCACTCTACAACAACAAAAGAAATATACATATTTCCTTTCTCGATTTAAATCTTCGTGTGAGAAGCTCAGCTTAGTATATTAACTTAAATGCAACCAAACAATGCCAATTTAAATATGAATTATTATAATCACCTTCCTTATATGTATTGTCGTCTAGTATATTAACCAAGTGAGTCCATTTTATATTCACAATTAGTGATACCAGGTGTCCGGATAAAACCGGACATAGGTAGACTTTTTGATTGCGTGTCCGACCAAAATAAAGGGTGTCCAGCTTTTGCGGCTTTTTACATTTCGAAAACGATCGAGCACCGAGCGTGGCCGAGCGCAGGCAAGTCGACATATTTACAATAACAATCAGAAGAGCTTTATTTTACACGCAATTCTTTTGTCGTACCTATTAATACTGGGACACAAAATCCTCAATAATGTAGGATGTCCGAATTTTCTACCCAAATATCTCACCAAAATGACTGGTCTGTCCAGCTATTAGGTTTAGCGACCTGGCAACCCTAATCACAATTAATGTAACAAATTTCCTACTAACAGTAAGTGCGTTTGATATGAGCACTCTCTCGTTTATATTCTGACAAAATTAGGAATTTAAATATATTCTGAAGTTGTATAATAAAACCTTATCTAAGAACCATCTTCAGTCGGAACATCGTGGTGGCAATACGCGTTATAATTACTGTGTTTGCTGCTAACGCCAGTTATTACTCTATTTACATTTTTATTTTTTTATTTATAGATATTTAACGTTTAGTTGAAGGTAACTGACATTTTTTGCATACCATTCTCTATAAAATTGAGATGTTCTAGGTAGATAAGATGAGATTTATATTGATTTAAATTTACGAGTAAACATCGGAGTAGTCACATATTTGAGTCGGTGAAATGTCAGATAGAATCTAAGTCTGAATTTTCTTATAAACAAATTTAAAACGTTATTGTTGTTCGTTTAATTAAAATTATAGGGATCTAGACATTTTAGACATTAAGTTTTAGTTATTAATAAAAACATACAAATACAAATTAAAACATTTGTTTGTTATTATTTTTTAAGATTAAGAACCAGACAAAAGATACAGGACCAATTTTCTTGTAGTATATGCACGAAGAACTGTTTCACTATATATATAATAATTTTGTTTACTGGCATACATGATACTTTCGTCTTGCTAAACAATATCACATTTATGAAGAAAACCATCTCGAAACAATAGAAATATGGAAAGTATACGGTTTGCAAATGAATTTTACTGACTTGCATCAAAAACTATTAATAATATAAGATTATTTATATATTTTAATATTGCATCAACGTCAGCGTCTTATTCATTTACAATCAAACAAAGGCCATTTGCAAACTAATTTTTAAACAAAGAAATACGGCTAACGCAAGGTTAATCCTACCTATTTATTATTAAATGACACGAATTATTTTCCAATTGTTTAATTCACACTTCTAGATGCTTATTGTACGAATTTTCCCATCTTTAAAATTGTGTCAAGTGCGCTCTAGTAATTGCACTGATCCAATTATTATGAATAAGAATTATGTTTTACATTCATTGTCGTGGTTCGGCGTTATGTCCAATTATTGAGTGGGCACAAGGTTGCAGTTTCTTAATGGATGTTTTAATTACCATGTACTGGTTAGCCTAATTAATTATACTAGTCATGTTGGCCGATTGACGTAACAATTTTGATTTATTTGTCTATTAAATATTTATTTATATACGTTAAACAACTCTAGTTAACTATTAGATTCAATGCATAAGTATGGTCGGTATGCAGTGGGATAAAAAAATATAGATATACTCAGATTATACTAAAGTTTCCGTAACAAGATTATAATATGTTTTAAGATAAAATTATTATGAAAACTGTTTCGGATATTCCACATTTTGTAAAGTTAATTGTTGGCTTCTGATGATTGCATCCTGATTTAAAAATAACAAAGTTCATAAATGTGGAAATAATCTCTGGCATGTTTATTATGATTGCTTTTACGTCTAGAAATCTAAATATATAAAATCGTGATTAAAAGTCAATAATGTCGATGTATCATAACAACACTAATAGCATCTAAGGCCACAACATCTCGAGATATTACCCGGTGTTTTTTATATATCTATGACAAATTTTTTACAGATTATTTTCAATTTAATTAAAGTTCATAATATAATAATATCTACAAGAGGTCTAATGAATTATACCATGTTCAGCATTGGTTAGTTTGTATTGTTTTACATTTCCCACAGTGAAAATAAAAGTGAGAATTCAATCTTTTCCGTGGCGTATTAACGGTACCTTTATACAGTACAGTGAATTTTATATTAAAGCCGCGCCGAGACAGCGTATCCGGGTTTAAAAACCATGACTCGATTAGCGGTGACGCGCAACGCGAAATGATATTACAAAATCATTCTTAATACATTTATTTTAATAGTAATATTCAAATGTAAAGTACTTACACAAAAAAAAACTTATGTTAAATAGCCAACATACAGCACGTTGCAATAAAATATAACGTTGTCATTATGTAATTTGACCAACAACAGGCAAATATTACATTTCATTTCGCTATTTTATGTCTGCGAGACGGGTATTAAAGTAAATTGTATATACAATTGCGCGCACGGGGCACTCGTTAGCCGACACGCGGGTCCGACGTGACGCTGCTGCGGCCGAATGTCGCATTGTTTTAGTTTTATGCGTACTCGACCTTAGATTAAATGTTAACCAGATGATTTATGACCGCCGCAGAGGCTAGTTTAGTGGACGCGGAGCTCTTTCGACGAAACGTTCAACTTTCATAACTGCCCAATTTGTGGGAGTTAGTGCGATGTCGTGCGCGGGCGTGCATGCCCCGCCTTTTTATTACTGCCCCTTAACTGTTAACAACACCCATTCTTGGTGGATCTGTCTCGAAATCCCACTTATAATTGTGTTATCTCTGACATAATGTCTAAAATAACAAGCGTATTCAGGTGAAACATGCGCCGTTTTGAGTAACATCAACATCAATTCCAACAACTTCAACGTATCTCTCAATCGCACAATTACGAGTACATTTAATTTTGAAAAGTGAATTTATATCAACATCTCAAAGAACTAAGAAAGTACCGACTAATCGTTATGTTTGGTATGTCGCAGCTTTTTTATACGCAAATACGATAAAATTGGTCGGATTCTTACACTCACCAATCTTCGCTTGGGCTTGATGAGCGGACGGTTTTGACCGTTCATCTTGTAGTAGAGGCCGCAGGCGTTGCATAGATAATGACCGGTGCCATCACGCCGCCACAGAGGTGTGCTCGTAGCACCGCAGTTCACGCACTCGCGACCCTCTGTCATAGACAACTCCAGATTAAAATTTGATCGTACTGCCACTAGCCAGCTTTATTTACTCAAATTGATGGACATGCTGATTAAATTGTGGTAATTATATAAATGATTTAAAAATGTCTCGAGATATCTTTCCAGCTATTTTTGTAAAATAATAATATTTCTAAATTAATTTACATAAAGAAAAATATTATTGCGATAATAAAAAATAAATGAAATAGATAATAAAACGAAATGAAACAATCACCAAATGTCAAAAAAACACCAAAAGCAAACCAAAGCGTCATTTTGTTAGAGTTGTGTTATTACCTGTCTCCTGGCAGGCTGAGAAAGATGAGAGAAAAAATCACATTCAGAAACATTACAAATAGAATATCACTAATAAACAAAACATGCAACACACCGACACATACAAATACCAAAGTCATTACATAAAAAAAAATACCGCATAATATTTCACGACTCGAGATTCAGTCGTAGTAATTGCAATTACAACGAAAATTGTAAAATATTCATTAGCTAAGGAAAGCGGAGAGTTTCACTCGGGGGAGAAAAAATATCAAGATTTTTTACACGCAAAGGAAAACTGGAGAAAGTAACGTTGGACGTTCACACCGCTATGGACTAAGCAAACGTACACTTAGACTTTAACGAGCCGTAGTTTATTAGCCCTTTTGATTTGCATAACAATAAAGACTGTTTTATGTTTGAGCCATGACAATTAAAATCGAACATTTCTAGTTTGCATAACATATGATTATATCTACATCTAATTCACCTGTTGTTAATCATTATGGTCTAGAATACCAAGGCAACCTATATTGTCCCAATTCTTCTGATCTCCTTATCACGATTTTAATCAATAAGAGTAGGATAAAGTTAGTAAAAGAAGGCAATTAAAAAAAGTGTAAGCCCCTGATTAAGCTAAGTTTCCCGTGTTTATTTTATTTATCTACATGTCATGTAACATATAAACTTTGTCACAAATAAATAACAGATAGGTAAATTTTCAAACGGTATATACTGTTTCTCTAACTATAAGTAAAATCAAAACGTTCATAACATAACCAATGAAAGTATAAAGTTATCGTAAATTTATGTATAAACACTAATTAAATAGTTAAAGTGAGAGATCTACAAACCAATTACGCATGTAACTACCGAAAGATATTTATAAAACAAGCAACAAAAGCGAATCTCTATAAAAATATTGTTGCAAAAATATTCGAGAGCGTCTAGCCGGTAAACAGAGCGGAACCAGAGCTATAAAGTAAAATATTACCTACATGCTAATTTTCGCTACACGTAAGTGTACACACTTGTAACAGTACGAACAAGATTCGTACAATCTTCAACTTAAGCAATACCATCTCGTCCATGACCCATGTAAAATTGTAAATCTAACTTTAATATTAAAAATAATTATCATTTCCAAATCATAAGTCAAACTACCGAAGCTTCAAACATTACGATAATTCGCATGCGTTTAGAAATCATGCAATATACGATTTATTATCAGACTCCAACCCCGGAACGAGCCGTCCTCCGGGGAAACGCTTTCCAAAAATTCACATTTCATAATTGATTTCTTCTCATCGAAACGAGCAATTTCACGTGGTTAGTTAGAGGATGTGCTCACATATGGGATGCGCCTGCACCGCCCACAATATCTCTAAAACTCGATTACACGATCGATGATTTACCGAGATCGAATTTAGAATCTCGTTACACACCTTCGCATCCTCTCTCGTCGTCCGCCGCATCCTAACGAATCAGTGTAACACGGCAAAACGACTACGGTAAATATCATTAATGCCAGTTTAGTCGCACATTAAAAAAAAATCAAATAGATTTCACTACCGACCGATGGAATTACTATATATACTTACAACTATCTCGATCTGATTATCGTTTCCAGACACTACGGTCGACGCAATGAATAAATAAACGCAAGGATCACAAGCGGAAGGTGAAAGTGATCGAATATCCCATAGAAAAAAACTTTTAAACGTATCCAAAATGTTTTATAAGCTCGAGGCTACACGGCCATTTGTCTTTTTTATGTAAAAACCAGATCACAACCGGCAATTAAATCTTCTGGACCTTATCGAAAACTTATTGCGATCGAACCGACGACTCACTTTTTGGACTAACCCTTTACGTTTTGTTTTTTGTATCGACGATATAGCCTGTAATTTGTTCCGAGTTTGTAATAAATAAACACCAATAACGATTATTAGGAAAAAATAACAGGATATTACACCGAACGAGATATTTTATGGTTGTGTCTCTAGCTGGTGGACTGATTTAGTTCAATAGTAACATCTCTATTGGTAAAAACGCTTGTGAAAGTCGGCGCGGCCGCGGGCGGCGACTGGCGTTTTCGAGATTTACAACCCGTTCGCTTCTCATACATCGACATTACACGTATTATTAAAGACAACAGCGTCTCTGATTAATAACTATACGTTATAATTGTTCAATCCGGTTCAATCACAGTGATAACTGTGTTTTAATACGTTCACGCTGAGTTATTTCTTCATTTCCCTTGAAGTTTCTACTATCGAACAAAGATCTCGCGCCTTCTCGGCTCGACGTGATTTTGACAAGCAATAAAGATATTACACTAAAGTGCACGTCGCTCTACTCGGCATGATAGTAGCGATCCTGAAAGTGAGTCGTTTGAGCGAAAAATTCTTGTTTGTACAAAATTAGAATGCGGCTCGTTCTTTATAGCCGGGAGTGACGTGCGCTCGTGACGCGGCGGCGCTACGTGACCGCGATAAAAGATTTTCATCTGCCATATTTACGTGGCTGAGTGGGCGGTTTTTATGTTTCAAGAGTCCCCTGCGAGCCCTTCGCGGAGAACGGAGTTTTCACACGCCGCGTCTGTGTTGGGAAAACATAGAACTGACGATGACGGCGTAAGTCGTACCGCGTAAGCAACGAACCTATTTAGCTGAGGGTGCGAAACCAAAGTGCCGACCCTAGAACTATCGATGCGTTAGCAAAGCAGGACCGTTACTGCTCAATGAAACCGCACCGTAAAAACACTAGCACAGTCACGTACAGCGCTAATGTGCACTGGGGTAATGTAATTTAAATGAAGGACTAATTCGCTCCCGTGTACCGTGACGCGCTCTCTCGGCGCATCGGGCCCATCAACACGTAACGGTGAGGCTATTTTGCATACAAACCATTAAATTATTGCTCAAAACTTATTCTCTGTTGCGCCACAGAGGCTGTTATTACGCCTTAATTATATGCTCGTATGCAAATAGGAAATTTTAATGGTAGCCGATGCTCTCGCGCCGGGTCTCCGTTTTTATTGAGCATTGTACTGTTCATAGACGAACAAAAAGAAGAGTGTTGCAAGTCGTTGACTCACTAATGTTCATTGTTTTTGTTAATTTTGATGTGAGTGACGCGAAAGGAATGAAGCCATTTCGCCGGACGCTACCGCGATCCGTCGGTGGGCCACAACTGGTATTTGCTATTAGCATACAGGAATAATTGCGTGTGACGAGCTAAATCCAGACTGCAATGAACTCGGCGTAATTACTATATACCGGTCAATATATGTTAACATTCTGATGTCGTACAGAACAGTAACAACGAGGTTAATCTTCTCATTAGTCAAACGAGCTTTTATAACTAGAGACTTGCTACTGTATGTTTAAAACAATATTTTACATAATTGCACTCTTTAAAAAAGTACGAGCTTAGGAAATCATCGTAAAATATAAGAAAACGTTGTTTACATAAGCTATAAAGAGTTTTATAATCGTGGTCCTAATGCTTGTTAATAATTCAATAATCAGAACAGCTAGCGGACGTCCAATGTAAAATGCAAATTTGGTTTGCAATTGTGCCGGCTGGCAGAGCGTGACGAGCGCAGTACGCTTATATTTAGATATAATTTTAGAAACTTAATTTAAAACTAGATAATGCCTTTAAAATCATGTAACTAAAATACCAGTGGATATATAACAGGGTAATTTGAAACATATAAAGAGTCACATGACTTTAGTTTTGAGTACAATAACACTGCAAATCCGATTTCGAATTCGGTTTAATTCAAAAAAGGTAAGGAATATATTAAAGAGTATGTACACATAGATCTGAACAGTCAATTATTTATCTGTTATGTGAAATATGATACATTTCGTTATTGATAAAATGCAGAAGGTCAAACAAATACATTGTTTCCTTAATTTGATATTTTATTCGAGATGACGCACTTGAAATTCCGACATACTAATTACATAATAATCCGGCACATTTGTTTTGCTTTATATAAATGTGGGTAGTTTCTTTGTTTTGCTTTATACTGAATTGAATATATATTAGCCGTGAAGTGCATTCTAGCATAATTAGCAACCAGTCACAATGATCTTTTCCGAGACCAACAATACTTCAGTTTATTTCCATAGAACACTAACCAAGACCTTCACGAATCACTTCTTCAATGTTGATAAAACCGCATCCGTTCCTCTGAAGGAACTTTAATATTTAAGAATTAATTAATAAAACATCAAATATTTAAATACGGTAATATATCAATATAACCATTTCACAAGTGTATGTTATATTATATCACTACCCTACTAATATTATGTATGCGAAAGTTTGTAAATATAATAAATGGAATGGATGTGTTTTTGTTACTCTTTATCGCAAAAATCTTACGGTACTTCATGAAACGTCATAGACGGATAATTCTAAGCCTGAATTAACATATAAGTTACTTTTTATCTTTTAAATTTACTATAAAAATATTTTATAAATCACGCGGATGAAACCGCTGGAATAAAACTAGTATTACAATAAAATTCAACAGCGTAGAGTACAGAAACCTTATTGTTGAATTAGGAACTAATAAATCAACACAATCAGACAATGCAAGTTGCATTCGAATAGTTAATAGAACATAAAACTATGGAACAATTTAAATGCCGATTAAAGTGAACGCAGCATTGTTTTAGAAAGTGTTGAATGGTATAGTTTGTTAAGAAATAGCCTATGTTATAACTGAGCAAACTGAGAATGTGACTGACCGCGTGCTATTTAGATTGCCCTTTCCTTGGCATTCTTCTATTCTACGTTTAGTATGAACTGAATGTATGAAATCAATTGTGTGTCACGACTAGCACAATGAAATTTAATTATGAGATAATAACCCGCAAACGCCTCGCACGTTTCAGATATTGAAAATAAATGTCTGCTTACGATTATAAAAATAAAAAAGATACTTATCAATGAAATGTCCATAAGAATCAAAGTATAAGAATCGACGACTAATTTCTATTGTTCTTGAATTATGTAAAAACAATGCACCTGCGTACATCTATTTAATATTTATCATCGAATCGGGACCATAGAATTTGAATGAGATTCCTCTAAAGAAATGGAAATCTTTTTAAAATTAGGCCAGGGTGATAATAAGAGCAGAAACCAGAATAAAATTATTCCTAACTATTCTACGAAGGCCGGTAGAATACCTACTATGGAGTTTTAAAAGGATGATATAACTGTTTTAATGTGATTGTTTTTATTAAATCCGTTTGTTCTTAGCAACCCGAGGTCAAGCGATCGGCAACAATTGAATGAGCCATATCCGGCACTTATTATCATAACACCGTTTACACCAAGGAGCTGGCGGTATTCTGAGATACCGGTATATGAAGTGTCTGCATTTTATAACATTATAACAGAAGCAATAAAGGATGAGTCAAATAAAATTTGCCGGTTATATTTATACTAATATTATAAAGAAAAAAGGTTTGTTTCTTTGTTTGCATTGAATAGGTTCCGAAACAACAGGACCTATTATAAAAATTCTTTCACTTTCGGTGAACTACACCATACATAAGTGGCTATAAGTAATTTACGTAGCCGTAGTCGCGGGAAATAGGTTATATTTTTGATAATATCCATCAAAAAGTAATCTTTCTATAATGTGATAAATGTAAACATTTAGATTCATGTTGATAAGTATTTTTATGTTATCACTTTTTCAAGAAAAAATGCCATGTCAGAATTCGAAGAATTTGCCACATAAATAGTTTAAAGCATAAACACATTACTACTCACCAAAGGAATCTCCAAAAAAGTGATTTGGAAATCAATGCGAAGAAGTTGAAATTGCCAGAATTATAGACTAAGAAAAGTTTTGTTTGCTTATACAAATAATTTAAAAAATAAATGTATGGCACCAGACGATCATAATTATTATGCTGAGAAGATACTTTTTTTTAGCGTCCCTGCTCATTAATGAGTAATTCTTTGATGTCCGTAACTGGTATGTGATTTCATTTCGAAAAATAGAAACACAACTTAATACAAAAAGTATTTCCATTGTTATGCTGTATGATTTCAGTTAAAGTGCGTTAAAACAAAAGCGAAGCTAAATCATACGTATACATTATAACAATTACATACATGTTCGCGCAAACACCATAAAATTTTCATCACTGTTAATACTATCACTGTAAACACAATTGGTAATTAATTAAATAAGTGACTTAATTGTGAATTTCCAATTACACACGCGTCGCTCACCTACACCCATTAAAGTTTTTACCACAATTATATAGAACACAGTATAGTGAACAAAAACCGGTTAACAACTAGTAGCATTGTGTAAAACGGATCGTAGAACGCTTTACTTGGCTTTATTGTTATCGTCATTAAAGTTTATAATAACATTTGTTATTTCGAACTTTCAAAATTTACAAAGAACTTCTGAAATAATTGCCTCAATATACTTTTAACATTAGGCATGAATAGTATTTATTACGTGATCTTAAGTCGCTATTTTAATGTAAACTGTTATAAATCACAGTGCGATTTCATAGTTTTTCATAGAATGGTACCAACAAATTATCGCTTTTTGATTTAATTAAAAAGCTGTCTTTATAATTGCTATTTATAACTGGAAAAGAAATATTATAATAATTTAGAGTTTTTGTAGAGACTTTCTAGACCTGAGTAAAAATGGACCTTAATAAATATGCTTATTGTGCCGAAAAAAGATAATATCAAAGACAGTAGCAGATGCTACTTGCGAATATCAATTCCATATAATCACGTAGTACTTATTAAATCCAACTATCTGATGTGCTATAATGTCAAAGATTTATGTCATAATCCCCATCACAGAAAACCGAGATAGTTCGTAATTTTTCATAATAATAACGCTCACTATTTGACATGGTAATTATTTTTTATCATTCCAATCTAAATAAGACTTAATTAAACAGCTTTCATTGTCACCTCAGCTGAGGAAAATCTCTTTGGGAATAGAAATATTTCTAGCGTGTACTACTATTATACTGTCTTTCATTCATCGCACCCGGAACTCGACGATTTGAAGTAAAAATGTCTTCTTCAGTGTCTTCACTAAGTGTAATTAACATTGCGTTTGGTTTTTCAATAAGTTATCGCCTGAGAAATCCGAGCTATCTCCACCGGCTGTCATTCCGTGAGACGCGGACATCTTAACAGAATACACTTTTAAAATTTCACAAAATATTGAATAAACATAATCGCAACTGTAATTTCGATAAAATGTTGATCCATATTAAAATTCATTCTGCTGATTCATTAAAATAATAAAAGACAATACGGTCCGTTTTCGGTTCCCGTCCATTGTCAGAAATTTAACTATGAGAGTCGTAATTACATTTTTTTAAATATAAAATAAAGCGGCATTATGTGGTGCTAATACAATTACTGTTGAGTAATTCTTTGTTGTCCGTAACTGGTATGTCCCTATTGCAAAACTTGCAAACGTAACCATGTTAGTTCACGTTTAAACTTAAAGGTCATACTGAGAGTATTCAATGAAGGGATTCTTTGTCTCATCTGGATATGTATTGGTATTTGCTTTGCTCCAATTACTGTTACGATATCGCGTTGCTTTTATGAAAATGCTCTATACAATAACCATTTTGCGAATAGTTATTGTTCACATTTAAATTCTTCTATATTCAAGTCCGTAATATTAAAGCTTTGTTTTTACATCAGTGGAAAAACTTTTCCTATTAACGTATTGTTAAGAAGAATGCCCAATAATGAGACAGCAACTTCATTTAATTCAAAAACTTGAAAGTTAATAGAATTTACTTAAGACCATTTGTCTAATTGCGTATCTTAAACAATGGCAACTCGAAAATAAATAATGAGAAACCACTTTAGTTGTACGGTCGACATCACAAGAGACCGCTCGTTCACATATATACCTACTATCTGGTAACAATGAAGCTTGAGCCCGAACACTCCAGAACGGACGGTAATAGCTAACAGTGATTAACCATGAGAAATTTAATCAAACACCTACTTTAAACGAAATAATAGTCGTGTCTGGAAAACCCGTCATGCTAATTATAAACTAATTAAACAGATTAATATTGAGTCAAATTACTTAAAAAAAAAAGGCTAACGAATCGTTAGTAACACCTCCACCGTCAGCGTTAGTAAGCAGCAGTTAAACATCGATAGAACCCAGCCCAGTTTAGTTAGTACTCCCGATATGCCTTGTAACAACAGATATAGAACGTGTAGCGCCACAACCCCGGTGCAAGAACCGCGCTTATCCGATCACATCACACATCTCCCTATACAATTATTCAACTACATTATTCGGAAATACCAAATGAAATATAACCGCGTTTACTTTATCAAATTAATAATTCGATATTGTCGATGACACAATCTGCACTAAGATTGTAATTACGCACTGTCTAACTTCGCAGCCATTTTGTAAAGGCTTAGATTAACGAGAATCGAACAGCTCTCAGGGTATTTAACTCATTATCTTAATTCGGAGTTGACTGTATAAAGCCAGGTAGCGGTGGAATTTCTGGTGTGTAAGATTACTGTAGTGGTGTCTGTGATCGGATAAACGCCTAACGAGTGACGAGTGCAGAACGGTGCAAGTGAGAAGTAGTCCCCGTGGACTCACCGGCGCTCGTCCGCGTCTTGTTAGGTCGCGGCTTATTCTGCTGCTGCGCCCCACTAAACCCTTTCCCCTGGTAGTTGTAGTAGTCGCCGCCGGCGGCGTTGTATTGTGCGTTGTATTCCCCGGAGGGCTGGCTCGACTCCTGGGGGCACGAGTCCTGCTGCGCACCTTCGCGTTGCTTCGACGGGGGTGCCCCCATCATAGGTTTGACGTCACCACAAAGCGGCAGCTCCTGTTGCTGCATGAAAGCGACGCTCATGGCAGTCGCGTGTGCCACCGCCGCTTGGTAGTCCTGTTGTCCTAAAGCAGCCGCTGCCACGGAATCCGGTGTGGAGTCCTTTGGCGGCGTCGGAGGGAAGGAGAATAAAGGGTGGGGATGGTGATGTTGCGCGGGGGACAGCGGCTTGTCAGCTGGAGCACCGTCTTGTTGGAAGCCGCTGCCCCACGCACCGCCACCTAACGCCTTCGACTCCAGCCACGGGTGCAACGGGGTGTGGAAGTGGGGCCTGCACACCTGCCCGCTCCCGCCGCTCAGCGTCCGACCTGCAAACGCAATAGAACAATTAAAACACGTACGAAACCGTAACCATTTCGAAATTACAACAAAGCTCTACTGTTTTTTATTACTTTTAATTATAGTGTTAAAAGTGACCGTGTTAATAACGGCGACGCCATTAGCATCTAACATTTGATTCTCTCTCAAACTTTACGAGCGTTTATGTTACTATTATCGTAGCTGTCGGAGATGTTTGTGATACGCGTAGCATTGTAACGTGAACGCGAAACATTGAAGCCCAGCGTCATTAGAGGGACAATTTGAAGGCGTTTTGTAGCCACGCCCGCGGTTGTCTAAATTAATATCATTTCATCTAACAACTGCTTTTTCACACGACATCTTCATTGTCGATTATTGTACACAGTGGTGGATGTCTACTCTAATGTGTATTTGATAAACAAATAATGGGCTGGTATTATTCTATGATCTCGTTCGCTGCGTCCGTGAACAAAAGGCCGCTCTTTTCCGAAATGTTTCAAAAGTGCGGTGTCACAACACGAGGCAATTAAAACAGTAGGTCAGTTGGAAATTTCATTAATTATGTACATAGTGGCGTCCGTTTTGATGATACACTACGTTGATTTGTTTGCCCATCATATTAATGCGCGTTTTGATTAACAGAACCATGTTCTATTGCAAAACAATAATTTAGTGATGAAATATCGAATAAATAACTTCGCCATTAAATATTTTTAATATTTAATTTAATTGTAAACGCTTTAGGGTTGATTATTGGCAACAATTATTTGCCCATCCTCAAACGCGGCGATCTCCCCTTTTTAATTCCACGAACAGCATTCGACAATTATTATTTAAAGTGAAAGCAAACATATGTACGAAATAGAGGGTGAATACTTTAATGATATTCTTTCCATTCGTCGATTGGTTGGTTGTCGTAGGGGTCTATCCGGCCCCACGGGAAGGGCCTGTGTAGCGCTGCGGGTAGCTAATAGCCAGTTTGCACTGCGAAAACTCTATTAGACTGGATATAAATTAAATAACCAGTAAAGCTTTGATAACTGGTGACCGTTTTAAGTGAAAAGCTTGATTTTGTTTGCTTAATAGACATTGCACATTTACTAAGTTTATCGATTTATTAATAAATCAATAGTTGAAGTATTAAATTAATATTTATTAACTATAAGAGGCTTAATCAAACAGTGAATTGAAACGTCACACGGTATCTACAGCAGTATCAGTGTAAGTAAATAAATGCGTATCGTAATCACCGGCTCGAAATCAAATAAACAACAAGTCGACTATCGGAACGATATAAAAATGGCCACAGAGTACGCAACCACAGTGGGTGCATGATAGGGCCCGCATCGCGTCCAGGTGTCGATCGGAGACCGAGATTATCGGTGATGCTTATCACAAGGGCACCCGTACGTTACTGCTCAGCAACGCCAAGGGGAATGAACTTTAAACTATAGTCGAAAATACTATATTAATCTAATCACTTTTTAACTTGATAAAACCTCGATCGCCAACTATTACATAAATAAAAATACAGGCTGCTAAAAGGATTGAAACCCTTTTTGCCGCCACGTTTTTCTTTTACAAAGGCTTGTAAGTTTCGTTCAAGGTTCATTCAGTCTGTTTATAATAAACAACAATCCCTTTCATCGATTGCTGCCTAAATAACACGAATAAAACAATAATCAATCGAGCTGGCGTCACATTAGGCCGGGTATACACAACAACGTTGTGACAGCGTCTGCGACAACCGGGAGCCACCCCTCGCGTTAGGCCGCGCTCACAATAGCCCCTCCGATGGCGAACCGATAACGCGCGTATGAATAATTCCTCTTATCGCGCCATCTCGCCACATGCCCTACCTGCCCTGCTACCACGAACTCCTAAAACGAGAGACTACACACACAAAATTCCGAATTCAAAATGCGTGAAGCGAGGAAAAGCTGTAACATGGTACCGGGCACTCACAGGCGCTTTTTATTCATTAGAGGGCTGCAAGTTTCGGCCATTGTGCCAGATACGTCATTTGTGTGCCACTAAGCCTTGATTGTTTGGGGATTTCGTGTTATACAAGCACCGGGGCTAATAGAAAACAAAACTATGCGTACCGATGTTATATAGCGGAAATTGAATTAAGATTCACGTTTGTTATCTATAGATCTACATTTTATTCATTCATGTCCATATATTGAGGTACCTTAAAGTATAATAAAACAGAACGTCGTAAAAAGCCGGCGAAATAAAATTGTCGTTAATATTCTGTCGTATACTTGACATTGTTAAATTAAAATCAGCTCTTGAATGAACGTGGCTTAGTGTTCAATCGGCAACAATACACATTTCCGTGATATCATCCTCCTTTTTTAAATGGTAACTGTTTCCTGGCACCCGCATTGGTTTTGCGAATGAGATCTTTCTAATCACAACCAAAGAATACCTATGTTGCATTTTCGTAATACAAATCTTTACCATTATCCCCAAGCCCCTATGAGTCTTGAACCCCAACAGATGCAACCGAGATGTTATCGGATAGAACTTTGCGAGAGCTGTGATAGTCCACTGCAACACCCGGTTTGTTTATTCTATGTAACGGTAACAAACACTTTTTCGATTGTTTTACCTGTCACACCTGGTCTTTCGTTAGTTTGCAATAAAATATTATGTTTTCCACATCATATTTCATGACCTTGTCTCTTACATCATTTTATCATTCTTAAAATCCAAAACGGGCATATAAATTCTCAAATCCGACCAAATATAAATGTTTAGTGCCACATCTCGTTAAACAATAAGAATGCAATTTCAGCCGCCCTCCGTTTATACATATCCACAAAACGTTAAGGCGTGGTTCAATCGAATCGTGGGCTCCCACCTTTATGTTTCTTGGCTAGCGGCGAAAATTGCCCCTTTTCGGTTAGAACTGCTTGTAACTGATGCATATGTACATAATGAACCCTAATGTGTGCACGCCGTTCCCGGCATGACGTCTTCCGGCGGCTGTTACAATTATTCTTCCCTCCCCCCCCCAACTTGTTTAGCTAATCAAATTTGTAACTGCATGTATTTGTAAGCTTTAAGCTCGTTGAAAGTACTGTTTTAATTTACTAGATATTAATAACTACTTCTATTTCAAGGCATGATAAGATTGCCTTTAGCTAGTGTATTATATATATAGAAATTATTTTATTATATTTAATCATTTTTTCAATTGCATATTCACAATGCTGTACTGGAACCAGATTGCGAAAGGTCTTGGGTACGAATCCCATCTCTGAGTACCAGTGGCAAAGTGGATTTTTAATCATTATTCATTAAGAAATTTATTTTATTAGAAAAAATGATTAATTATAGACTAAAGAGAACATTAATGTTTCCTTTTACCGTAACTTGATCAATAGTTCTTTAATACATCAGCGAGGTTCAAACTCAAGTCTCCCCTTTGCTCTGTGTATCTATGTCTTGAGCTATGGGAAACAACTTTTCAAAGCGATGACCTATCTCTGCTTTTTACTATGCAGGTAACAATTATCTCTAGTAATGTGATGTTTAAAACATTGATAAGGAGATTCAGGCTTATCTTTATAATTAAAAGTTCACCATCTTCGTCAGACGCTATCATATAACGCCGATGTTCTATGCACAACACGATAACTATTTCAAGCACTTGCTTTTGATTTGTTCACTCGCACGATCAGATATACAACACCTAGCAGCAGGAAAATGTGAAGAGGGCATCGTGAGAACTTTCACGGGTCACCAAGGTCACGCGGCCAGCGTCACCCAGTCTGCCGTGGTTTATTTGCACGCCGTGACATCAGCATCCGCGTGCGCTACGTGCCCGCGCGTGTGTCGACGCCTTTACGGCAACCCAACACTCCAACTTATCCCTTCCACTCGTTGTCTTTAGACGTGTTATCCTTTGTTACCCCGGCAGATCATTACGTGCTCAATCATCGGTGAGTCCAGAACCTTTATAACTGTCGCCGTAAAGGCTACAGTCGCTCGACACACGTCCCTGTGAAATGTCCGACGTGTTAGCGAATGATAAATGTAGGCGTCGGTATCGCGTATCGGATCTCTCCGTTCGCACGCCGAATTAATTTTAATTTATTGATCGTCGTATCGACGCCGAGTATTTTAGGTGCCTACTAACACTGCAATGCTGCTTTGCTTTTAAAATGTTTATACAACCTTTTTGCATTAATATCGGACGCTGTAAACGGAAAGATTGTGAAGGACAATGTCTTTTAAATATTAAATCCTACGCATTACGCTTTATTTAAATTATAGTTACATAAGAACATACATATCATTTCCTTATTTGCTCCCTATAGAAATAGTTCGAATAGCAGTCTCATTTCAGCATTAATGCTTAATGTATTTAAATGTAAGCGGTCTTAACGTGGGAATTATGCACGTCGAAATTCCTTTTATTCTTTTTGTATGTATGAATTTTGATATAGCTCACAGTAGTCTATTGTTGTTTACGAGTGTATGTTGAGATACGAGTCCGTCTTGTGAACGGTTGCGATGGTAGCTGGCTGACGTGACGTCACGAGGCGTCTGTTCTGTTGCTAATTAAGCGGATTTCCCGCCGTGTTCATTACACTCGTTATGTAAGTATGCAGATTGAAGTTTGATGCAACATTGTCACAGCCGATCGATCACCTGACGTGAACTACTTGTATTGATTATATTCTCAGAAAAACTAGCAAACCCCAAATACAAGCATAGAGGATTTAAAAATGCCTCTGCATAGAGGTTTGATCTAAAAAAACTGAAAATAAAAATAGAAAAAAAAGAAAATTTGAAAAATACACTAAACCATAGAGGTTTATCATCAAAAAGGTTTATTGCATTAAAACAAACGACAGTCGTTTGTCTTACCGTCGATATTCTTTTTCTAATAGCAATAAGATACGGAAAGAGCAAATTCTTACACCATTCGATTCGTGGAACCGATGGCAGTGGACGCGACAGGACATTTACTTCTAATTCTTTAGACCAGTAT